CAGCAGGATGAGCTCTTTAGAAAAAGACTGAAAAAAGATTTGATAATCAACTTCCAAATTTTATGCTTATTTTTTCTATTTCCATCAATTTCCCAACATAGTTAACATGAACAGGAAAATCTTTTCAGTAAATTAAGCAACTGAAGACTCAAGTGAAGTCTCAAAGGTCTTGAAGAACTCTGGCAAGTCACATATATCCCATGTTGCTTTTGGTTTCCCACCTCTTCTTTGCTTCAAACCTAAAATGAAGAATATGAAAATCCCAATTTATTTCTAAATACTTTCCTGAAGTAACATGTTTACTAAGCGCCAAAGTAAAATAAACTTTAAAGGTTTCCACATACTCCATCAATTACAAAATAAACATCAAACAGGAGGAAGAAATGCCTCCATATTTATAATCTGATAAACATTCAGCAAAGATACAAAGAATAAACTGAATAACAATTACACACAAACTGGATTCACCAAATATATCACAGGATTTCTGTAATTCCTATGAATTTAGTAGAATTACTAATTTAAGAAATCTTGAACTCACCCCCAGGCAAGTTTCTTCTTTTTTCGAGCAACCTGTGAATTTTCAGCATCCTTTTTGGCTTTTACAAAGTTGTGGCAGGCAATCGCTTTGGCAATTTTTACACCAAGCTAAGAATTACACAGGAAGAAAAGTGAAAATAAATATTCTAGCTGATACAAGAATTACAGTGATACAAATACTCGAGAATTTGTGGGTATGAAACCCATGTCAGCGTTGCTTTAGACATGCTAAGAATAGAAATTCTTATGCTCGGCCCCCAAAACCACCGAATTACAACAAATGCAAAGATGTAGCTAGCCCCTAGTCTCCTAACCTCCCACAGACCTTTATCCCAGCTGTACCAGCCTCCCAGTCTCCCAGATGGAACTCCTTCCCACACTAAGGCCCGTCGAGGGTCCACGAGGGCTGTGGATGAAGATCTTGAAGCGCTTTCAGCATTTCAGTAGGCCAGACAGGAATTTACCCCATAAGGCCGCACAGGCTGACAGAGACATCCAGCTTCTTTGCTCTGGGCTAGAATTACAGAAACTCAGTATGGGTGCACCCGTTATCTCATGCTGATCAGAAGCTCAGGTTGGCCGTCACAGATGTGATTAATAAAACACAGGAACGCTAATTACTGCTTCATAAACACAGTTTGCGTGATGGGCAATCGCTTGTCACTCACTGATAGAAAAAGGAATACAAGGGGTGCCAAGAGGCAAAGAGGCGGGGTACCAGGACCACAGTACCGAAGTGTTCCCTCTGCCAGTCGCCCGTGCGTGCATGCTCCCCGCTTACGCCCATCTGCCCCAGTGCTAGAAGGCTGAAGCAGAACAAAGCCTCCTCTCAGCCCCACCCCCGGAAGACTTCTCTAACTCAACTCAACAAAGTCTTTATTTCTTCTCTAGCCCTTCAGCTTCTGTGCCATAACCTATGGTACAGCTCTCTGGCCACAGAGCTGTTCCTCGGCGAGCGTCTCCAGGACAGGCATGGTAATCCCCTAGTTTTGGTGGGCTCTGATTTTAAAAACGCCCACCTATATGGATGGCTCAAAAGTATCTGTTAAGAACCCAGGTTAAACAACAAAGGCTAAAAATCTCTTCCTGGTATTTCTTTCCTTTTCTCTCTCTGTACACAGCCTACTGCATTTCAGTAGCCAGCAGACTTGTGGACGAGAGGCAAGGACCCAGAAGTTACTCTCAAGTCAAAGTACTACAGCCCAAGGTTTAGGGACCTGCTGGCCAACAGAGAGGCATGGCAGGCGGTCAGGGGCTCGTGTGAAAGGAGAGAAGCCAAGTTAGGAAAGTGAGTTTTGACATGCCCGACACTACTTTCAGCTCATCTTGGAGAACAGTTTCCTTTAGAATGAAACAAACAAGCAGTCATCAAGCACTGACCGGGGTTCATAAATGAGAACAAAAACAGATCTGATTTTTCAGTCTAGGAAAGAATACACATAAAGAAGGTAAGTAAATGGAAGCGATATGACAATCAAGCCAGCGTGCTGAGGTAGTCAACACCAAAAGGAAAGCCGCTGAAGGAAGCAGGGTCGACTGTGGCTGAGCCCACCTGGGAAAGCAGACCAACTCGGAGCCTTCCTGACACTCGAGCCAACACTAGCAGCAGCATCTTTTTTCACAAGGACGACATTCATTCAACCAATATCACGAGGGCACAAATGCATTATTTTGCCAGGCACTGTTGCAGGTGCTGCAGATACAGCTGTGAGAAAGAGGGCTTCGGGGGCAGGTGGGGGGGGTGGGCAGCTGGGGAGAAGGGGTTGCCAGTTACATCTGACTGCTTCAATCCCGGACCTGTTCTTTTGGCTGTCTTTTCATTTCCAGTTCCTTATTACAGAAAAGTTCATATAAGTCAACTATAAAAAAGGTTAAGAATCAAAGGGCTGTAGCATCATCATCTAAGGAGAAAACGAAGCTCTGGAAGAATGCTCTGGAATCATTTATCACGAAGATGGATTTCCTACCAACTGAAACACCATTCATTTGTCATAAATGTAAAAACATCAAGTTACGCCTGTCTGGTTAGGCTAGTCAAAACTGTAGTAACAAACCAACCCCCAACTCTCAGTGGCTGAACTTTTATTTCGTGTTTCACTTAATGTCAGCTGTGGACTGGCAGGTCTCTCCATCTTGTGGTGCCAACATCTCAACACGTGGCTTTCAAGGCACTGTGGCAGAGGAAGAGATGGCCAGAGGGTCTCACACTGGCTCTTTAATGCTTTAGTCCAGAAGCGGCACACAGCGTTTCTGCTCAAAGCCAGCTGGTCAGAATTGCTCACAATTCCACCTGGCTGCAAGGCGGCTGGCCACAGGGGTGCTGGGGGACATCAGGGGAACACTAAATGCACCTAAGGAACTGTCTACTGTCATAACATGCAGCTTGCCACCTGGGTTTAAGAGGTACGCTGGGTCTCTCCACATTCGTGTAGGATATTTAGTCTCCTCTCTGTCCCCCAACTCCAAAAGATAAAACACAGAACTCAGTATTTGCCTGTCTAATTATATTCCTATGTTTTAGATAGCATATGCAAATTTGAAATATGATATAGTTTTGCCAGGATCACCCCCTAACAAAAGTTCCGCTCAGCTAGTTTATCTTATATTTAAATTGAGCTTATACTTTTGAGCATGAAACAAAAATGACCTGAACTATATTTGCCATGTACCATTAACCCCGTGACAAAATTATTTCCTAAAACTGTTGTAAATTAAGACGCAGCTTACAGTTTTAGCTTATTGAAATTTCCCAGTATGGACTTTCTGGTTTGGGGACAGACAAACCAAAGAGCATCTCAGTGTGTCTGGACATTGACCGTGGTCATGTGATTTAAATGGGGCCTCTTCAACATGGTCATATACTCATATATGTAAAAGATTTTAGTTTTCTAGCAACACGAAGGACAAACCCAGCACAATCAGCAGCACAGTAAAGACTGAGAGCACATATGCCACAGAAGACATAGCATAAACTTGTTAAAAAGAATTCATTACAATGTAAGAAACATGTATTTACATGAGAGGGCTCCATCGCTTTGTAGACTAATTAAATATAGTAAATGATTAGGTACGTAGGCAATACGTTCAAGCAGACCTGTTTGTAGGAAAGGTATATTTTCTAACTGTATTTTGCCTGGGGTTAGGTTCAATGAAATGTTCTTTAACTGATGAACATTAAACAAGCCTGGTCTATGCATTTTACAGAAAGAATCTTTTAGCTTGTAATGATGATGAAAAGTCTTATCAGTGTTGTGTCCTTCCCATGCTTAAAATGAATGTTTCACTTATTCCTGTGGAGAAAGTAAAAAGAATGGAAATATTTGGAAATATGAAAGGATCATGAGATCTTCTATAGAAGACACAGTTGAGAAGAAACATGTTTTCTCAGGCAAGATGACCAGCCCAAGTTCCAGAAGATAAAAGAATACCGTGCTATGTTTCCGTATTACAAACAAACAATATAGGCCCACAAGAATCCCCCTTCTGCTTCTCTAAAAAGAAAAATGCATCTTCGTGCCCAATGTAAACATCACAAAAGCTTGGTCAATGGTTTTTATATTAAAAAACTGTTTCAGGTCATCAGATAACTATAGCAACACAATGTGGGAAGAAATTTTTTTAACCAAACAAAAATATAAACAGAATTTCTTGTATGTGTAGCCAAAGTATCAGCATTTTCCATACAGAACATCCAATATTTTGCTGCATTTTAATTAAGGTGTCTAAACATTATCACAAAGAACTGCAAATTGGTCAGAGCAAACGGTAAGGAAAATTAAGCTCTAAAGGCTTTTTATCACCATATTTCAGGAACCAAGGGTGTAAAATGTTCTAATTTGGGATATATTAAAAGCCATAAAAGGTCTTTCAAAAAGATTAATGGTACTTTGCTTGGATTTAAGATAAGGGCTTTAGCTGGTTGGAAAACCAGGGCCCTGGCTGGACCCTTGAGGCATTCATCTTTACAGCCACTTGGAAGATTTGTAAAAGCGTCTGCATAACCTCAAGCAAATGCACCCAGCGACATTTTTTTAATTCCTTTCAATTTTACAGGTTTAGCATGCGTAAATCATATTGGGTTGTAAAATAGATATAATGGCACATCTTGTAACACAGTAGAGATTTTTAAAAGACAAACTTGCAAAATAAAGTTCATTTTTCTCACTAAACCTTGCCCTACTGAAGTTTGCTGATAATCATTTGAAGCATCTGATTCAAACAGCTTAATCTAGCATCACTGTAAACTTATCCATTTCATAAAATACTTTACTCATCTTTGAATTACTAGCTTGTAACAGATTTATGAAGTTTTCCTCCCTTCTGAACACTTTCAAGGCACTTATTCAAAAATACCAATTATCATACTTTAACTTTTGATGGAATAATAGGTCTCTATGAAAAAATATTTATGCCATTCTCTTTTGTTCTTTAATTAAATGAAAACAGATGTTTTCTGAAGTAAAGCGGAACCATTACTGGAGCACTTAAAGTGTTAAGGTCTTTAATTTCTATATCAGTTTGGTCGACAATTCATGATTGTCTTTACTGGAGCTCAACATTAATGTCAAGCAAGTTACCTAGGAGACGAAAGAGATCAAAGAGACAAAAACCCCTCCAATGTCTGATTAATCAAGCCTGCAAACAGCTTATTTCTTTTCGCCTGCATGCAAGTATGAAAATGAGATTCTGGGAGCCGAACATTGTGCAGATTTGTTCATTCTTATCAGAACAAAGCCAGCGGCAGCTTATTTCATGGATCATTGGCACTGTCATCAGTGCTACACAGGACGGGTGACAGCTCCTCATTTTGAGGCTTGAACAAAATTAGCAAAAAGTCGGCACAAATTAGCCTCTCATCTTTTTGGTAATATGACATTATTCATTTACTTTTTATCCAATTTTTAATTTTTTCCTTGTCAGCTATCCCTTTCTAGTGTCTCCTGCATGGCATCACAAAATGCCTTCTTAAAAACAAGCAGAGAAATAGCCAAAGTTGAAATAACATGCAAAGTTCAAAAAGCAAAGAAGAAAAAGCACTTCCAAGGACTGATGATGCTTTATTTTTTTTTTTTTTAGTAACTTTCAAAACTTTGCAAAAATATTAACAG